CTGAGCACAGGACCCAGTCGGTCCCACTGCCTGGATGCCTCCCAAACAGATCAAGCCAATCAACTGTCTCACCTATTCAGAGGGCCTGATCCAGCTGGGGGCCCCTCAGCCATTGGTTCATAGTTCATGTGTTTCCATTCATTTGGCTATTTGTCCCTGTGTTTTTCCAACCTTGGTCTCAATTCTTGCTCATATAAACCCTCCTCTTTCTCGTCAATTGGACTCCCAGAGCTCCACCTGGGGCCTGGCCATGGATCTCTGCATCCAGTTCCCTCAGTCATTGGATGGGGTTTCTAGCACGACAATTAGGTTGTTTGGCCATCCTATCACCAGAGTAGGTCAGTTTGGGCTGTCTCTCGACCATTGCCAGCAGTCTATTGTGGGGGCATCTTTGTGGATTTCCGTGGGCCTCTCTAGCACTTTGCTTCTTCCTATTCTCATGTGGTCTTCATTTACCATGGTCTCCTATTCCTTGTTCTCCCTCTCTGTTCTTGATCCAGCTGGGATCTCCCACTCCCCCAAGCTCTTTTAATTGCTATGGCTCTGTAGTAGATCTTGAGATCTGGAATGGTAATCCCTCCACAGTGTTCTTTTTTATTAGGATTGCTTCAACATTTTCTCCATTTCAAATGATATTGTCTGTGGGTTTCTCATAGATAGCTTTTATTATGTGAAGGTATGTTCCCTATGGTCCTGTTCTCTCTAGGACTTTTATCAGAAAGGCCTTGTTGGACCTCGTCAAAGCCTTTTTCTGTTTCTATTGAAAAGATAGTGTGATTTTTGTTTTAAGCACAATGATGTGGTTTATTACATTTATTGACTTGCACATGTTGAACCATTCCTGCATCTTCAAATAAAGCCAACTTGGTCAAGATGCATGATCTTTTTGATCTATGCCTGTGTGTGAATTTTAAGCATTTTATTGAGGATTTTTGAATCTATGTTCATCAGGGATGTTAGCCTGTAGTTTTCTCTTTTTGCTGTGTCATTACCTTCTTTGGGTACTAGAATAATACTAGCTTCACAGGAATTTGGACATATTCTTCTGTTTCTATTCTTTTAAATAATTTAAGAATAATGGCTGTAGATCTTCTTTGAAAGTGTAGTAGTATTCAGCTGTGAATCCATCTGGGTCTGGGATATTCTCTCTCTCTCTCTCTCTCTCTCTCTCTCTCTCTCTCTCTCTTTCTCCCTCCATCCCTTTCAGTGGAAGGCCTTTCACAACTGTTTCAAACTCCTCCCTTGTTATGGTGTTATGGTTCTATTTAGGTTATTGATCTCTTATTGCTTTAGCTTTTGTGGTTCGGATGGATCTAGAAACCCATACATTTCTTTTAGATTTTCCTTAATGGGATTTTTAAAGTATTCACTTGCATTCAGAATCTCTTTGGTGTCTTTCTCTGCTCATTTCTGATTCTGTTAATTTGGGTCTTCTTTTTCTTTCTTTTGGTTAGCTGAGCCCAGGGTCTGTTGATCTTATTATCTTCTCAAAGAATGATATTAGATTCTTTGATTCTTTGAATTATTTTCTTTGTTTATATGTCATTAATTTCTGCTGATTTTTATTTCTGTCCATCTACATCATTTGGGTTCATTTTATTATTACTTTTCCAAATTCTTGAGTTGCATTATTAAGTCATTTGTTCTCTTTTATTTTTATGTACTGGTTAGAGCTATACCTTTCCCTCATAGAGCAGCTTTCAATGTGTTCCCATGGTTTTGCTGTGTTCTTTTCAGTTTCACTTAGTTCTAGGAGTTTTTTCTTGATTTCTTCTTTGATCCATTCATCATTCAGTAGTGAATTGTTCAATAGCCCTGAGTCTGCCTGAGTTTGTATAATCATGAGGGATTTAAGGCCTATTGATTTTATTGCCATATGGTTAAATAGGATATACAGAGTTATTCAGAATTTTCTGAGTTTGTTGTAGATTTGGGGGTTTTGTCCCAGTGTGTTGTCTATGTTAGACATTCTTCTGTGGGCTGCTGAGTAGACTGTATATTCTTTGGTGTTTGAGTGGAATATTCTGTTAGGTCCATTTGGTATATGATATCACTTAATCCTAATGTTTGTCTGTTCTGCTTATCTTTTGTCAGATGACCTATCTATTGGCAAAAGTATGGTACTGAAATCATCTACCATTAATGGATTGAAGTTTATCTTTGTCTTTAATTCCAGTAGTGCATTTTTAAAAATGAATGTAGGAACACCAGAGCTTGGTGCATATATGTTTATGATTGTGATGTCTTGCTTAATGGTTCTCTTGATTAAAGTGAAGTGTCTTTCTTTTTCTCCTCTGATCAGTTTTAGCTAGAAGTCTATTTAGTCTGACATTAAGATAGCAATAACTGCTTGCTTTCTGGTCTCATTTGATTGGAGTATATTTTCCCCATACTTTCATTTTAAGGTAATGCCTATCTTTAAATTGAATTTCTTGTAGACAACAGAGAGACGATTTTGTTTCTTAATCCAGTCACCCATCCTGTGTCTTTTGGAGAATCGAGGCCACTAATATTTAAAATTGTTGAATGATGTATATTGGTTTCAGCCTTGTTTCTGTTTGTATTATTAGTTCTACATTGTTTCAGTAATTATAACTTCGTTTTCTTTCTAATCTCTTGACTATACTTACTTCTTGCTTCAATCTGAAGTATTGCTTCTTGTAGTCTGTTGGGTATGAATTTTTTAAGGCTGTTTGTATTATGGAAAAATTTTCTTTCTCCTTCAACTATAGCAGATAATTTTGCTGGGTACAGAAGTCTAGGTTGGCAGTTATGGTCTTTAAGAATTTAAAGCACATTGCCCAGGCTTTTCTGACTTTCAGAGTTTCTATTGAGAAGCCAGCAATAATTCTGATGGGTTTGCCTTAATATTTGACTTGTGTTCTTTTCTTGCAGTTTTCAATACTCTTTGTTCTGTATATTAAGTGTTTTAAATATACATATATCCCCCACGATATGCCATGGGGAGTTTATTTTCTGGTCTTGTCTATTTGGTGTCCTGTGTACTTCTTTTATCTATCTGTATGGGTGTTGGGCCCTACAAGGTCGGGGCATGAGGCCCAGTGTAACTTCCCAAGCCTAGCTTGGCAACCTTTCCTAGGACATGACTTCCCCGTGCATACGAGTGATCAGCACTGCCCGACCTAGAATTGCCTCTGCCTAGTAACTGCTGAAATGACATCATCTCATTGGCCCGCTATCCTCACCCCATCCCCCCATCACCCTAACCTATATAAATTCACTCGTGATGTAATAAAGCAAGTTCCTGCTTCGACAAGACTCCCAGCCCAGCGTGCTTCTCTCGGGGGAATGGGGAGGTCTGGACATCCTGCTCAGCCCCAGGGAGAGATGGGCTGGACCGGTTCTGCCTCCGCCCTACCTGTTGGTCAGACCGACATATAGGTGTGTTTTTCCTTAGTTTGAGGAAGTTTTCTTCTATGGTCTTGAAGACTTGGTCTATGTCATTGACCTGGGATTCTTTTCCATCATCAATGTCTATATTTGAAGATTATAATATCATGGTATCACACAGTTCCTACATGTTCCTGTGCTGGGGGATGTCTTTCTGTACTCTGTGAATATGTTGTTCCCATTGGTTAATAAATAAGCTGCTTTGGCCTATGGCAAGGCAGCTTAGAGGCAGACAGGAAACCCAAGGAGAGAAATAGGAAAGAGAAAGGTGGAGTCTGAAGAGTCACCAGCCTTCTGCCCAAGGAGCAACATGCCAGCAGACCGGTAAAGCCACAGAACAAGTGGCAAAACAGAGAGTAATAGAAATGGGTTAATTTAAGATATAAGAGCTAGCTAGCAAGAGGCCTGCCGTAGGCCATACAGTTTGTAAACAGTATTAAGCTTCTGGATGATTATTTTATAGGTAACTGTGGGACTGCAGGGCTGGGCAGGACTGGAGAAACTTTCAGCTACATTCCTGTCCTCTGTCTTAGAACTGTTTTTATATTGTTTGATTGTGTGGTCTAATTCCTCTATTTTTATCTTTGAACCCCCAAATTCTATCTCAGTTTACTTATAAGGCTTTCCACTGAGTTTTCTAGTTGGGTTGTTGAGTTTTTCAATTCTATCTTCATTTCAGTTTGAGTTCTCTTTAATATTTCTATCTTACTAAGTTCAGATTTCAAATTTCTAATTGTCATTTTATTCAGTCTTTATCTGCATATTTGTGTTTCTTCAGACATCATTCAGGCATTTATTCAAGAAGTTAAGTAAGGTGTTTTTTGGGTGTCTTTTTTAAACTCATTGACTTCTTTGATAAAATTTAAGACTGTTCTTTTAAACTCTATGTCCGGAGGCTTATTTAGGCAAGTTGTATTAAAGAACATTTTTATAGGACTAGTGGGTTTGATGGGAGACATGCTGTCTTAGCCATTGTTTGCTTTTGCAATGTGATGTGAGCATGTGGATCCTTTTTAGGATGTGTGTCTGATATGAGATTCTAGTCTACCTTAGGTTAGCTTTAATGCAAGTGCTGCTTGTCTGGAACTAGGCCAGGTAAAGTCAATATGAAGTCTTGGTCTGGAGCTCAACAATACAACTATAAAACTCAATAGGAATTCTCATAAGTGGACTAAGATAGAATTTGGGGGCAAATCCTACATTTTGCATATATATAATTACAATACTCCATTTTGTGTATTTAGTATTCATAGAAATGTTCCCACAATTATATTTATAGTATAAGCAGAAGTACTTGATTGCATATTATTCTGAATCTTAATACTTGAACTTAGGTATTTTGGTTTGATACTATTGGATTAAGCAAAGAATACAGCTTAGTGTTAAAAAGTTAGTTGATGACAATGACTAAGAATTCATTAGTAACAAAGATGGAGATGTTGCCATGGGACTTCAATAGCCACCAAGGACATGGGGACCTTCTAAGACAGTCAGTACATGCTTTACTAAAGAGCACTGGGTGCTAAGCCCTTGTTGTTGGATATGAGAAGACTGGAGGACTCATGATACACAAATAACTACATCAAGACTGATACCACAGAATCAATTTTGTATTACACATCATCTTTACATTATGGCATACATATTGATCATCACAATTTTAATAATTTTGAATATGTATGTAAATATATAAAACTAAGAGGCACTTCCAGTAATTCTGGCAAAAAGGGAGGAGTATCAATATAGTGTCTAAGCTAAAAAACAAAACCAAAAATAAATATAATTTATCTAATTTTCTTTCTATACAGATCCTACTTATTACAAAACTTTTATCAGCCATTAACTATGTCACTTTACAAATACTTGTGGTGGAATGATACTAAATATTGCTACATACATTAAGTGCAAGATACAGGTGACAAGATCAAATTGACTTCAAATGTAAAACAATCACTTAGGTAACAAGTTTTTGTGTTTCTAAAAATGGATAAACTTTACAAAGATACTAATTAATGAACACATTCAGGCTGAATGTGGTAAGAGAAATATTGTTAAAAACTGTCATTTACAAATGATATCCCCACCACTATCACTTTAGTTATTTGAAAATAATGGGCATTTTTAGGAACACCAAATTAAATCAATCCTATCCCCCTCCGGGTCGAATATTTAAAATCTGCTATAGAGAATCACTCAGTGTCTTTTTCTTTTCACAGAGAAGCAATCATAGATCAAATCAATTACTCAATCAGGAATCAGAATGCATTTTCAACAAGAACAAAAAATTCGAATTGACCATGTCTACCCAAAGCAAACCCATTGGATTCAGATTAAAGTTCCTAACATCATTACAGAAGGGTAAAGAGAATCTTTTTTTCCATGATTTTGTATCGAGGGCTCATAATATGTGTAAAAGCACCAATTTTCATTTCGTGATTGGCAGGATAAAAATCTCCAGGAAGGAGTCCCAGGGGATGTGTGTATTCAGAGATGTTTCCCGTGCTTGTTGGCTAACAAATCAACTTTACTGGTGCAAAAAAAAAAATATGCTATATGTCCTATTGTGGGAATATATGCAATTAACTGACACTCATAAATGCAAAAACCAAGCAAATATGATAAAAACCTCATGCAAATATTTTACAGAGTATTCAAAATTAGTGATTGGTGAATAATATATATTAAAAGTTAATGAGGCCCTCCATTAACATATCATATATAGATATATTAGGGCTATTTTTTAATGACAGCAACAGCATAATTCTAGAATATGTTTATAAATAGCTAATGAAACATCTGATATAATGGAAGTTTTCAGAGTTAAAAACGTAACCAATTGAAAATTTTAAAAGCAAGGTGACAGGACCCTTATTCACCAGCAAGTTAAAGACGACAAGTTAAAATAGTTATTATTGATTTTACATTAACGTCTGATTATTTTGCTATATAAAGAGAATGGAATTACCAGGGACAAAGTTCCTCCTCTGCAGCAAACGCTCTGATCTCCAATGATTCACACTCAGCAATGAGAAGTGTTTGTTATGTTAAATAAAGCCAGGGAGGAATCATGGATCCACAAGGTCATTTCACTCCAGAGCAAATAACTAAGTTGACTTGGGAGAATTTTGGACAGGGGTCTGGCTGTGTATCCAGGGTTTTATGTGGTCCTTGATTCTGCTGTTACCTGCTTCTTTGTACCAAAAGTTTCATTATGGAAATGGGGTGGAGGTGACTTAGACCCTGGCACTAAAAACATTCCTTCCTTTTTTCAACAGAAGAACATTTCTGATTACACTTTCTTTGCTAACTACTCTTTTTTCTCTCTGATCCCTACCAACTGGTTTAAAATGGCAGACGAGCACAGTGGGGCAGTTAGCGCAAGGCCAGCTCTGCATCTGTGAGAGCCCAAATTAACAATGCTTAATTTTCATAGTGTTAAAGAATTTGAGTTTTAATTATATTAGAATTGAGTAAATAAGATCTATGGTAATCGATAATTTATCATTTTTAATGTATAGTGATAAATTACTGGCTAATGTTTTCTTGTGCATTGTTGTAACTCAGAGGAACTTAGATTGTAACTTGGGCACTTAAATTCTTTGGTATGTTTTGTACAAATGTATTTTATGTAGATGGGTGTTTTGCCTACATGTATGTCTGTTCACAATACATAGGCAGTGCCTAGGGAGGCCAGAAGAGGGTATCAGATCCCCTGTAACTGAAGTTATAGACTGTGTGAGTGGCCAAGTGGACACTTAAATTCCTAATTACTTTATTGAATTTATGTACTTATTGATCCCTTTATAAAGCATTTTCTCTTGAGAGCATTAGGAAAACATTAAATCCTGCAAGTTTTCTCTTGCATATTAGTCTTAGTTATGCCAAACTATGAGCATTTTGGTACCAAGAAGCAGTGGTTTATGGATTTAATTTTAATCTAATTTAAAAAACCTTATAAGAGTGGTGGTTCAAGAAAACAAATCAGTGTAGTACTTCTGTCAGTATTGTCCCACAAAAATTTAACATTTTTTTTGCTTGTTTTCATGATTAAAAAGCCATGTCTTAATGCAGAGCAAGGAGTCTAGGCTGAACACGGCCACACTGAATATTTATCTGTAAGAGGATGCTGTCTGTCCCCTGTGTGCCACACAACTTCAGAGGGCATACACCTAAGATGCCAACACATGATGCTAAGAAATGTGGAGCCTTCAGCCTGTGTACCAATAGTCTTTTCTACATTAAAAACTCAAGGATCAATATCATCCTTTGAAGCAGCAGATTGGATCCCACCAACTCATTTTTTTTGCATCTGCAGACATATTTAAAGTATTCACACACAGAAGGTCAAACATCTTCACCACTACATCTAACCAATTGTTTGGGTAATTTACTAGCATGAATATAAAAACCAATTCTTAGGTAAGGCAAAAACCTGTATTAGGTAATGTAAAAATTAACATCCTTTCAGTATGTGCAATTTATAAGGTAATGACATAGATTACTAGTATCCATGCTGCATAATGTATACTAGTGTGTTCTTATTCTCTAATCATGGTTCCCTCATGGGAGAGATACAAATATTCATAAAAAGAGCGATTCAAACCACCCAGACCAAAGGGTATGGTTTAGTGCATGCTAATAATTTAATTTACTTGTAATTTAATTTTTAATAAGTGTCTGGGCATTTGCTGGAGGGCCAGTTGACATGATAAGGACCCAGAACCCCAAATTCATGGATTTCAACCTCGATTAGACACTTTAAGAATAATTTAATTCTGAGATCTCTTCTGTTTAAAATGGTGAATTGTTTTCTCTATCTTCAGTTTGAATTTGCTTGGATAAATTTTAAAACCTATCAATACCAATAAGATCCATAGTTTCCCTTTACAAATTCATGAAAGAAATGAATGACCTAGAACAAGGATCATGCAGTATTTCATTGCTCAGGAGGTGGGATAATGCCACAAAATGACTTCAGCCTCAATTCACGTGATTATTGCGGCACTTAGTTATCTGGGGCTAAACTACTGACATGCAAATTTTTGTTTCCACACCCCTTACACACACACATTAGGACCTAAAGAGTCAAGAGGTGTCTTGACTTAGTCTGTGGAAGGTCACAGAACTGTTACTGTAGCCTTCAGCCAGTTAAAAAGGTAGTTTAATTGCTAATGGCACAAAAATCAAGAGAGGCATCTAATGGGAATCAGGATTAGAAGGAGAGAAGGCTGACAAACCCCTCATGGTTTTCACTATGCTTCTAAGAGCTACCCTAAGAGAGGACAGTGAGGGTCTCTGCTTCACAGAAGCACCAAGAGCATGTCCCAAAGCAGAATAGACAGGACTTCTGGATTATTCATTTCCCATTGTTAAGGAGTTGTTCACCACACAAATACTTCACTTTTATAAAGAAGTCATTTCAAGCTTTAGACTTTATTTACAATGATAATTTTAATATCTTTATTACTTAGAAAATAATTTATACTTTTCCATCATTTAAACAAAGAATAGGCCTGAGTCTCATGCCTTTTGCACAGCTTTTACCTTCAAGAAAGTTCTCTGGGAAAGAAAGGCAGAGGACACAGGAAAATGGCAAATATATACACCTACTAAACAGCTGGCAGGGCATTCAGTTCTTCTCCTTAGCATTACTGGGGCTGCAATGGCTAATGTTTGTTCTGGAGTAAAACCCAAAAAGGACAAAACAGGATATGATGAGGGTGGAGGGCTGACACTTTCTCAAACAGGAGACAATTCTCTCAACACCAGGTGATGACAACTAGCAAACACACAGAACTACTGAGTTCATCTCCTACTGAGAACAAAACCAGCTCTTACATAAATTAGAACAACTTTTTTTTTTAACAATTAAGCGAAACAGCAAAAGTGGTGTTTCTACTAAGAAAATAGCATTCAAAAGGTCAGCTGGCATCCATCACCATAAAGACATTCAATTAGTATGCTGAAAATGACATGGATTACATGCAGAATACACTTAGGCTTTTACTCCACAGAGAGCAACTGGTTCCAATTTCTCCTGGCATTCATGTGTTATGACTGTCTATGAAACTATCCTTTCCCTAAGTGAGTAGAAACCCTTCACTAGGAAACCTGAGTTTATCGAATTGCACCTGTATAGGCTCATATAAAACTGTAGTAAAGCGCATCTAACACATTGGCACCACAGGAAGTTAACTCTGAAGTTGGATGTGAACTCAGTAATACTGCTGTCACCAAGGAGTTGGACAACATCATTCATGGAAAACACTTTTGATGTTGTTTGATAGCCTTTGAGATTTATCAGGTGGATCTTTAGGTTACACACTTGGCACATCTCGACCTTTTTCAGTTTGTTGACTTTTGGTTTGAGTAGAATAACAACTTGTTTGCTAAGAAAACAATTTACTCTGCCTGGACGAATGAGTACAATTCTGGAACACACAGATTCAAATTGCTTTGGTCATTGTTCTGTTACTTCATGTACCTTAAAACAAGCAAAACTAGGCAGATTTCGGAGACACTCCCAACACACACAATGTAACCAGCCTGGCACATACTCTGATTCTGTGGCTTCATTCAAACTGTCAATATATACTCACAAGGGATTTGCCAATCCTCTTACGCTAGGCGTAGCTTGTTTGACTATGTATGTTATAGACATGCATCCATTTGGAGATGGGGATGAGCACTGACTAAACAGATGTGAAGGGTATGAATGTAAATGCTTTGTCTATCATTTTTATTGTGGGGGAAGGGTGCATTCACCAAAGAAAGTTCTTTGCTTCAGGGTAGATTTATAAACAGAGACACACAGACACCATAAAGAAAGAAGAAATGATTCAGGACCTGCTAAATGCTGAAGACCTGGTGTTAACTCAGAAATATATTGAAACATGTTCTAATTGTTTGGATGAAGCCTTAATCGTTTTAATCCTTTTTGCACTGTCATATTAAATAGAAGATCTACCTTGAAATACTTGATTTTTTATTTCATCTTTGTCTATTTTGAGAAAATGCTGTGAATTACCATAAAATCATGCTTTTGAAGGGAAGGGTATGCTACCCATGTATGGGAGACAAAGGGATTTTTAATGTAAACAATCAATTATGTGAAAGAGCAGAAATCAATGAACATGTCTTGAGGCTAAATGACTAGAAGTCTGTGAACACAGAACTGAACCGGGAGCTACGAGCAAGAGTCCAGAGGGAAATGTTAACAAGCTGGTTAAGAAAGGCTTTCATGGGGAGGGAAAGTCCTCAGATTTAGTCAGTTAGCAAAAACTGTTGTCTTTGCAATGCCTTTACTTAATAGCAAAACAACTGTATCAGATCATGCTTCAAACTAGAGTAGGCAGATGGCCAGTGACCCTCAGACTCCACAATGAACCATCACCCAGCTACTGGGCTTGGAGATAGTTATAATGTATAAAATGGTGATTAAAATATAACTATAAAATGTTTCCCTTTTCCCCATTTTTGTCTTAAAAAAAAGTTTACTATCTACAAAAAAAAAGTCTTTATATTTACATCACGGTAACTAGGTAACTAGTCATGACATATGTAATAATATCCAATAAAATATTGAAAGTGAGTATCAACTTTTTAAATAGAGGTTTGGCTCACAGCATAAACAAGTGTAGAAAACAAAACAAAACAAAACAACCCAAACAGCTTTCAATGGTCTAGCCACAATCAATAACCAACCACCCATAATCTTCCTTTCCAAAAGTCTGCAAAGCCATGCTACGCCATCACACAGTGTGTGGAAGACTACAATAGGTGATGTCAGAGCAAACAATCTTCAACAGTTGCCAAGGGTCAGCTTTCCCCAGGCAACTTCCAAACCCTAAGCTGGCATTTTGCCTTCATCTCTTGTCATAAAACCCATAGTGAGTTTGTTGACTTTCTTTTTTACTACAACATATCTTGCAGCAAATTGAGAAGACACAGGGTATCATCACTAAAGGTAATTTCCTGGGCCTTTCCCAGCACCCTTTTAGAACCCTTACCTGATGAAGAGCTGACTCCAGCTCCTCTTGGGTTTCCACCAGTAATGAACGCCATCCCCTTCCATGGCGATTTGATCATAGGTGAGTGACATGTACTCACATACACCCTCACATATATACATTCATTAGACAAGTAGACCAGAAAGCCTCAGTCTTTTGAGTGTGAGGCTGGTGGTAGAGCGCCTCCAAGTGGCAAGTAGCAGTGGTACCAATCATGTGGCCCACACAAGCCCTCCCTCTGCAAAAGAACTTTTGTGGACGCTAAATGGAGGAGGGCTGCCATTCAGACACTCCAGAAAGGACTTCCTTCTGTATGTTCACATGTACTTTATTACCTGCTACAGCTATTCTATGAACAACTAAAGTCACAAACATCTCCCTTTCCACACGCACACAGGTATACAAACATCTCTCTCTCTCTCTCTCTCTCTCTCTCTGTCTCTCTCTCTCTCTCTCTCTCTCTCTCTCTCACACACACACACACACACACACACACACACACACACACACACACACACACTTACACACACAGTTGGCAGGATGCATTAGAATTCCAACAATGCTCTGGAACGTTCATCCCTCAATAGGGAGAACAAAAGCTCTTCAGTCTCAAGCCTACATTTGTTTCCTTGCTAAGCTGCACATTTCCTCGTGAGTTCTTGTCCTTTATGATTTCTTATGTCACGGTGACCTCTATATATCTTAATATGACGGTTACTACCTGTGGAGTCAGGCATCCTGGCTCTCAGTGTGCATGTGTTACACGTGACTATAAGTCTTACATGAGCCTATGTGGGAGTTTATACACACACATATATAACTTCCTTATAAAACGATCCTTAGACGCTGGTGTCGCAAAGTGAAAGCTTCGTTGAGCTAGAGTCTTCAGCGCTGTCCCTCACTGTAAAAGTAAACACACAAAATGTGAAGAATTCCCCAAACGCTTTAGCCATTTGCCCATCTTCTGGCATTCTACAGTGTTGTGTCTAAGTGTTGTGCTGGCTTGGAAAGTGTCTGGGACAAGTCATTCTGTTTGCAAACAGCTCGCTCTACCCATGGTCACAGGTCTGGCTGTGGAGCCAGGGTCTCCTCTGCTCTTGGCTTCCCCTTCTCTTCCTCTTCCTCTTTGATAGCCTGGATCTGCTCTGAGGAATGCTGTAGAGGAGCCTGGTCCAGAGACTGGTTCTCTATGCCTGCTGAGCACTGTTCCTCCTCAATCACTTTCTTCCACATCGTGTGGTTCTGCAGGAGGTGCTGAGTTATTTGGCAGTAGATTTTCCTCCTTTTGAAAGTTTTCTTTCCTGCAAAACATAAACCATCAAACTCAACTATCTGTGAGCTACATACATGAAAGTTATTGCTTTTCATATTATAATCATGAATTAAACATCAAAAGGACATCTGTCTGTCTGCTTTCCGTTTATCTACCCACCTATCTCACTTGCTTTACAAGTACTGACAGTGCAGTTTTCTAGAATGGGAAAGAGCAGGAAAATGACAATAAGCTATTACTGAGATAAATGTGAATAATATTTTATATTTAGTAATGCCCACATCAGGTTCTGCTTGCATATTTTGTTAAAATATTTGGGGTGTTATCTGTGTATGTGCAGTAAATGCACCTATGTACACAGATATGAAGGTATGGAGGTCAGAAGTTGAAAACACAAGCCTTTTAGAGTACAGAGTGATAACCACTGTACTATGGAACCCCAAACCCCGAGCCTTTCTCTGTCACTCTTCATCTTAGTCTTTGAGATAGTATCTCTTACTGAGCTTGCCAATGGTCATGGGCTAGTGCCAGTTGTACTAGATCTCTTGAGATCCACCTACAGACATCTTTGTGGAAGGGCTAGTAGTCTTTATCTGGTTTCATTATAAGAGGAAGTGGAAATTTCTTGCACCACAGAACAGTAAGATCAAGTTGTAAAATGTGCAGAAAAAATAATTGAGTTTAATTATTTTGAATTACTTTTGAACCACATAGAAACATACGATGCTAAATTAAACAAATGCTGAGAGATAGGCATAGAGTTATAAAAAAGAATTTAAATCCCTTTTTACTCTAGTCATCATTTGTTCATGAGATGAATTCATTGATCAAACTGATATTGACCAATTGGCAAGCACTTTTCTGTTTTCTGTATACTTTGAACAAAGATTGAATAGGCTCAGAGTTTACTCTCAAGGCACTGAGTGTACTGTGCAAGTACACTCAGGAGACAGAAACTGAGTAAATGTGCTGTTTGGGGACAGAGGCACACTTGTGACAGAGATAGCCTTATTATTTGTGACAGTGTTAATTGTCAGCTTGACAGAAATTTGAATCACCTGGGAGATGGACCTTTGGGCATATCTGTGGGGGTGGGATGGTGGTGGGAAGCACTATTCCCTAGGTAGGGATCTTGGAATACATACGAGAGGAGAAAGTGAGCTGAGCACTAGAATACAAACACCAATTTGCTGCTCACCAATTCTTGACTAGGGATTGATATGTGACTAGCACCCTGCAGATCTTGGCATTGTGACTTTCCCACAATGTAACTTGGAACTGTAAGATAAACTGTTTCTCCCTGAGTTGTTTTTGTCAGAGCACTTTATAACATCAATGAGAAAGTAGTCAAGACACTGTTGGTCTTATCCTGACTGCATTTTAGACAGGGGACCCACCCCTACTCCCACCTGAAGACCCTGATCTCCCTCCTCTTAGAACATTCATTTTAGAAATCTTGATTGGAAATCAATTCTCTAATCCTTTGCGTCATCTTCCAACCTGGGGACCATCCCTTTGTAAGGGGGTCAGAGAGAAAGATGGCACCAACATGGTGGTGTGACTGTAAGTGCAGTGTGCACATCACGTCTCCAGTTTTGTACTCCTAAGACGTTGTTAGAATCTAATGTTGAATGGTCTCACCAAGGCAGAAGTTAAACAAAAAGGAAGAAAGAGAGGGGAGATGAGGAGATGAGCAAGAGAGAGGCAGGGAAGGGAAAGAGTAGCATGAAAAGATAAAAGATGAGCGGTATGGAAAGTGAGGGGGTAGATAAACAAGAAGAAAGGAGGGAATGGGGAGGAGGGTGCTGCCCATTCTAGGTTAGCTGGCCAAGAGCTTACAAGTGATTTTCTGTTCTCAACCGCCCATCTCACAGCAGGAGTGCTGGGATTACCACCACTACCACATCTGGCTTTTTTTTCTGTATGGGTCCTGCGATCAGCCTTGTGCACAGAGCTTTTATGTACAAGGCCATCACAGCCCTAATTTGTCTTTTTTAATTGGCTTATTTAAGATTGGTGGATGAACTTGGCTTTTTATGGCTGCCAATGCACGACCCCCAATAACTCTAACAAGACACTTCCCCGCTACCAAAAAGTCACTGTCATTTGATGGCTAATGTTGCTAACTTGTTAGGACCTAGTGGCATCATCTGGGCATGTCAGTGTGAGAGTTTCCAGATTAGGTTAATTGAGGTGGGAAGACTCCCCTAAATGTGGGGGGTAACATTCTGTGGACCAGGGTCCCATGTTGAATAAAAAGGAGGAAGCTAGCAAAGCACTGCATTCACAGGCCTCTGCTCTCCTCCTGAAGATGCCATGGGACCCAGCTCTTCAAGCGCCTCTTGTTAGAAACCAGATGTTCTCCCAGCCTGCCTTCAGTGATTCAGCACCAGAAGCCACATCATCACTAGCTACTTTACCCTTTGAAAGGTCCCCACTACCTCTCTTGGTCTCTCAAGTTCTCACTTTCGTTCTCTCTCTCTCTCTCTCTCTCTCTCTCTCTCTCTCTCTCTCTCTCTCTCTCATCTCTATCTCTATCTCTATCTCTCTATCTATCTCTGACTCTGTCTTTCTCTTGTCCCAACTTCAAGGTTGATGGATCTGTACGTTTGTTGCAAAGTGGGAGGTGGAGTGGGGGCGGAGGAGCAAAGGAGCAGGTAAGCACACACACACAACCAGCACATACCTGTTCTTCCCTGCGCTCTGAACCAAGCTGCTGATCTAACTCTCCTAAAGATATACACAGATTGGGTCATTTGTTTGTCAACTTTATTCCAAATTCTAGAGCCTGACTCCTCAGCTGCTGCTGCTCTCTGGCCAGCTGTGCCCTCCACATGGGCACCTGTGTGCTTCTCTGGCTCCTGCAACCTGCGGGGCATCTGGCCTGCTGCACCCAACATGGACATCTCCCTTCTTGCCTGCTTTCTCTTAATTTTCTCTTGCCTTCCCCTAGGAACTTCAGTCCCACTTACAGCAGCCTGGCCCAGGAGACTGGGACACTTTCTTTTTTTCTCTCTTCGTCCAACTTGGAGCTACCCATTCTTTGTGCCTTTCTGGGCCTATATTTTGTGAATTTCCTTGCCTACCCCCTAGACCTGCCTGCTGTGCTTCTCAGTTCCTAGTTGTTCCTCCTTGTCCCTTAATTGATCCTGTTCCTCTCCTTGGATCATGCCATAAGTGTCTCTCTGGCTCCTGAAGCTAACTTCTACTCCCTTGGGGCGCTCACCATGTGAACAACTTCCTCTCTCAGCTCTGGCCTTCTGCATCCCTATGGGTATCTCCACTAAAGACACTTCCTGGCTCCCTTTCCCCCTGCACTCTTCTGGCTGTCTCTGGCTCCAGCTTGCAGTCTCACAGATTTAGCTCTCAGCTCCCTCTTGGAGATTATAGGGATACACCAACACAATGCTCTGCTTTGCAAATCTCTCTTCCTCCAGGGACCCAGATTTTATTACAACAGCCTGGTCTCAGCACAGATCAATGGCCAAAAAATTGGCGAAATTGATTTTTAAATTCTCACAGATCATAATAACTGCTACTGCACAGACAAATGATCCACAAATATTGTGTGTCTTTAACTTGCTCTGCTCTACATTCTCTCTACTTTCCACTCTTAAAAATCTTTTATTGCTATGATTTCTCTGTACTCTGCTCTCAAAATAAATCTCTTAAGATTATGCTGTAAACTCTATCTCAGGGTTTGTAAACTCATTGGGTGATGTGGGATGGTCTATATGTCAAATGTGTTGCTGATTGGTCAATGAATAAATCACTGATTGGCAGTGGCTAGGCAGGAAGTATAGGCGGGACTAAGAGAGGAGAATTGAGAGAACAAGAAGCTGGGTGAGGGAGACACTGCCAGCCGCCATCAGGACAAGGAAGATGTAAAGTACCGGTAAGCCACAAGCCACGTGGCAAGGTATAGATTAATAGAAATGGATTAATTTAAGCTGTAAGAACAGTTAGCAAGAAGCCTGCCACGGCCATACAGTTTGTAACCAAAATAAGTCTCTGTGTTTACTTGATCGGGTTTGAGCGGCTTGGGACTGGCGGGTGAGAGAGATTTGCCCTGACTGTGGGCCAGGCAGGAAAACTCTAGCAACAAATGGCGCCCAACGTGGTGGCAAGAGTTTCCACCTAAAACCTGAGAAAAAAGATTCTAAAACGGAGCTAAAAACAGCTTCCTAATTGTCTCTCTCAAATGAGCGGCAGCTGCCGGTTTGAGCTACTGGCGGGTTGCTGGCGTGCGCGCTCGACCTGCCGCCATATGGCGGGAATGAGGCCTCTGCAAGTGGCACATTAAGCTACATTGTGGATTTAGCCTTTGTTAGTACAAAACAAAAAAAGAGGTTTCTGGGCTACACACTGCTTTGATAAAAGCGTAGACCCACTATTTCTGAGACTTGATGGTTCCCAGAGCTGGCGGTAACCGCCATGTTGAGAAGCTAAAGTGGGCGGAGCCAGCAGCCACAGTGCCGTTTCAGGCTTAGAAGGCTGCAATTTAAAGCAACAGGTTTACAATAAGACAGATTCAGATGTAATAGTTTAAAATGTGTGTAAAATATACGTAGGCTTGAAAGAGACAAAAAAAGGTGATATATACAGTATAGAAACAAATACATGGTTTTAAAAAATAAAGTCTTTAAAGAGACAGTCAAATTAATATAAAAAATAAGCCACATAGAGATGACTATTACACAGAGAGTCTGGATTGTGTTGTCTTTGGGATTCTTAACTACAGAGAGATGTTTGATTGTAAAGGAAGCTGAGTTAAACCAGTACGTATATTTTAAAGATACTTTGACTTCAAAATTTGGATGTAAGGATATGTTGCTTTGGAAAAGAGTCTCTTTTGTTTCCACAAAAAGCCAGAGGCTATGGATTTGTTCCAGAGTAAGATACATCAGGTTTGACCAGCCAAGACCCCCTGAAAGGTCTCCGATGACACCATGGTCCAGATGATCCAACATCCAGAACCGTTTCAAGACAACTGGCTCAGATGATACAGCCTCACGGACTACTCCATGA